ATTTTAAAGATAAACCGACTTAAAATGCATGTTTTGTGAAAAATGAGTAAATAAAATGAAGTTGTATATAGTTTCATTTTATTGACTTGAAATATTTATTGAAAAATTGCAATTTGGCCGTTCAATGACCTTAGATAATGAAATCACAGTTCATGTATAAAGAAAAATACTCATGCGCAGAATAGCATGTGTATGTACAATTCCCATGACAGAAGTTAAATCACACAATGGTTGTTTTTCTAGCTTCACGTAACATATAATCAACTTTTGTGTGTGTTTCATGTTTGAATGTGTGACGAGGTTGTACTTTAAGAAATAGGAGAGGCCTGGGTGAATTAATCCTTCAATTTGTTTTAATTCCAAAGATTTCTATGACATCAATACGTACACGGTTTTCATGGCCAGCAATCTCAGGTGAAATTCTAGGAGTGTAATGTTATTCATGAAGAGATTTACCGAAGCCTTATGATATAAATCTATTAGAATAGACCCAGAAGATTAAAACACTTATAGTGTTATTAATAGGAGAAAACATAATAAAATTGAATAGGAGATACATGGATTAATGCCCTTTCCAATCGCTTCATTAGTTGATCGATATAGAAGTGAGTGTGTGAAACGAGAGTTGAGTTGAAACATTACTTATTAACAAAGCAAGTATAAATTACAATCCAATTATTTTTGTGCATATTACATGATTTCGAATCCTTACACAAAGTCCATATTGATGATGACATCTATCTAAATTGAGTTTTTGATATCACGAGCTTAAATTATTTATTACTCCTGTGAACTTACGCGTCCCTTTGCGACTCCCAACAATTATATAATTAGACCTTATTCATGTGTGGTTCCAATGTCACCCCGTCATGTATCGTATTAGAATATGGAATTGTACTTGCAGGGGTTTGTTTTCTCGAGGAGTGCACGTGTTCAGGACACGTGTCACCAGCTGTACGCTCGATGCCGTATATGATCAGGTCTTCTATCCACTCATGTAAAAACACTACACAAACTACACATATCTATTTGCCGTCTAGCCCTTGGCACCGCGAGCAGTCAGCGTTTAATATTGCAGAAATATATACATGATATATACAAAATACAGATGTACTATATACCCGGTATATATAAAAGCACAATTGACAAAGATGTGTCACCACAGACATTCGTTTACGAAACTCACTATCTGTTATTCAAAAACATCCTTCCCCATCTTAAACCAAAAACCCTGCCACCTAGGAAAAACCCGGAGCTGCCCCCGGAAACCTGTGTCCTATTGCCGACTTGTAATAATAAAGTCGAGAGAACTACTACAGCCTAATGCAGGATGGTCTAGTGGTAACGCTGGACCTGCGTTAAATTTCCCATGTATTTATCAATTATGTATCTCAATACAGAAACTACAAAACAAATATAACGAAACCTTTACAACCTTATCTCTTTTTTTCGAGAAAAAATAAAATAAAATGAATTCACCATTACTAAGTAAAACAAAAACACAAATTTGACCTGAACTGTTCGGTGTCTGATTAGAGAATGCCTATACCCAGAACATACCACGTGACCACGCGATAACGCCCATGCGCCACATTCAATTCCGGCTATTACATGTACTACCGAAACGCGGGAATAATTGAGTATAAATAGGCTTCATCGTATAACGGTATCTAACGGTGTTGTTTAACCATTTAACAGGACCCCTATATCGGTAATTGGGAGAAGGGGAAATGACTCTCATTTTTCTTATTTTGTTAAAAAACAAACAAAACTATATTGATAATAAAAACGTAATCTAAAAACACATGAAGAGCAATGGCGGCTGCCTTAAAGTGCTTTGTCAACATTATGCTTATAGCATTGAGCATAAACAGCACAATACACACAATACGAGCCAGGCTAAATTGTCTTAGAGAAACGATCATTAAAAACAATGTTAGCCAATTAATGTTTGAGATCAGACAAAAGTTACCTACGCCACGGGGTCACAAAGCGTCTGTCAGAAATAATACTCGCCGTAATGAAAATAATTGAATTAGACTTAATACTTATTCAATATTCAGAGAAAGCAAAATTTAACAGAGTTGTGTTACATTCCTGTATTACGGACCAGGACATTGGTACATAATGTGTTTGGTTCATACATACGCATACTATGCTAATTTTCAGTCACCACATTTCATATACGTTAGATCCATTAAGGATACCTGTTCCAATGCACAGTGCTTTTTCGTATATACGGTAACTTGCCATTAATTTCGATTTTGGTGTAACTGTAGTATGGTTGGGCCAGGACACCTAAATTGACTAGTTAGCTCAGTCGGTTATAGAGATGGTTACTCCTGAAACTGTTTTCATGCTCAAGCATGAATTTTGTGCTCAAGCCAAATTTCTTGTTCCGTTTATAAATCAATAATGAATTCTTAATGATTTCTCAAAGTAAATGTCACTCAAGAAAAAACAGTTTTCAATCCGTTATTTCAGTTTTCGGTGGTTGCACGGGGATCCTTAAACCTTTTATGGTCAGTGACATATCATCCGCAAAATGGTGTAACGCTTTAGTTAATGGTGAAGGATTATGCACTCAGATTATCTTTCTGTTGTGTACCAGAACGGTTCCCCTTAACGATGTCTGTCAGTCTTCCTTACATCTGGTGGACTTCAGTGTTTTTGACCTTTCGCCAGGAAGACTTCCAGAAATATGTCAGTCATATAATGCGACAGCACAACATAATGCATGCTGGGAGATTGTCGCTCGAGGTCCATGAATCACTTTACCGGAAGTTTATGGTGAGATTCCCATATTAATTCCGTAAGATGTTCCGGTATATTGTAGATGTGGCGTTAATATTCCAACTAAAGAGAAAACCCCTGGATCGGGTAGGGAAATCCAATTAAAATGCCTTTACAAATGGATTTCCTATTATGTCTTATAACTGGCCTCGGTTCTGTGACCATTTTTACTATAGTTATTCAGCCTTGGAGACTGCCACGTGACAAGAGAGTAAATACATTATACAACATGTATACATGTACTATACTACATGTATAGTTGGGTTCAGAATTCTTATCGCATTGTTGAAAGTATCTTTCACCACGGAAACTTAGTATGCAATGTACCAGATATAAATTCTGATCTAACGCTAAAACCAGCGTATTAACCTGTCAATGCCACACAGTTGTATGTATACGAGTGGTTCCGGCGTCTGACCGCCTAAAGCTAGGATCAATAGCCCTACACAACTGCGTCGCGGTTTCGAGGCGCACGTTGGGCAGTCGCAAGGTATAGTACTAGCCGTAGGAGTTTTTATTTCTCCGGGTGCTCCAATTTTTCTCCACCACCAAAAAGCACAAACAAACCAAACCAATGAACGGATAACAGTCGATTTATATTTTACTGACGCATAATAACTTGAGAACAATAATTGACAAGCTGTCACCAAAAGAGACAGCTAATGAAAAACAGTGCGCTTACCCTTGTGACATCTAATTGGGAAACCGAAAATTGCAATCGAACACAAAGCTCGGGGAGGGATTATCACAAGATGATAATATTTTTTGAACGTTTTTGAATGTTGATCTAAACAACCATCACCCGAGAAATGAAAAATAATGAAAAATGACGTTTGCATGTGGAAGTACCAGCGATGGTGATAAACGACACTGCGTGTTACAATGTATTTTCGGTATCAATTAACACCTCAATTATACAGCTTTGCAAAAATGCTAGTAAACTAAGGGTTTCACAAAATTTTGACTAAGTCATCGCAAGGTAACACAACCACTGGCGCCAAAATAACGAAATGACGTTCAAATGGACTTGGATGACAGCTGTTCGTGTCCTGCTAATCATTTGGTTGTGCTATACGGTAAACTTTTTTTATTGGAGTTCATGGTGTCGAATATATAGTATCTATGTTTATAGTGTCACATCCCGTGTTCATGTTGTTATACTCCTTTGTTCATTGCGTTATACCCTTTATTCATGGTGTTATACCCATGCATTCATTGTGTGATACCCTTTGTTCATATTGTTATACCCATGCATTCATTGTGTGTTACCATTTGTTCATGGTGTTATACCCATGCATTCATAGCGTTATACCCTTTGTTCATGGTGTTATACCCATGCATTCATTGTGTGATACCATTTGTTCATAGTGTTATACCCATGCATTCATTGTGCTATAGCTCTTGTTAATGATGTTATACCCATGCGTTCATTGTGTTTCAACCCTTGTTCATGATGGTATACCCCTGCATTCATTGATTGTGCTGTATCCCGTGTTCATGGTGTAATCTCCCTGTGTTCATTAGGTTATATCTTGTATTCATGGTGTTACATACTGTGTTTATGGAGAAAACCCCTTGCTTCATAGTGGCAATTGTATCAGAGATCTATACAATAACTTGGTTTAATCAGAGGCGGTTTCTTCGCTACAGGAACACCTTTTTATCATGTCTGCAAATTCACTTTAAATATACTGAAACTAATATTTCCCCAGGTTGTTGCGTACACCCCCCTCCCGCCAACCCACTTATATAGGTCCACTGTAATGAGGTTTCTTTGTAGACTGGTAACATCTTCACAGACATCTCATAGCGATCGCGTCAACCAAGTGTATGAATTTAATATAAATTGCATTATCTTCAGGTTATTGCCTTTAGCACGAAATGAGATGATAAGAACGTATCTATAACAGTCGACTCTTCTAGAGAAATAAGTATCCGATGATGACCTATATGGGAGTAATTAGGGGGCTTTAATGCACTCATCATGTCACTAAACTCATAAAAAAGACAGACCCTATACATAAAAACACTATATTCAGAATAATGATAACTATTTGAGCATGTAACAGAAGACATAATAATCGATAAGCTATAGTTATTGATAATGATTTTAAAAAAAGGTAGCATTAAATGTAACGACAGGTTGTTAAAAATTACGGGGTACATTATACCGCTAACACCGTTTCACTTCAAAGATTAAAATTGACGTCTATATATAGTGTATCCTGCATGGTCATGTGAGTGCTATATATAGTACAGCTTCCTGACTGATGGAACACACACAATAATAATGGGGTGTTGCTTTTCGTCACAGCAGGTAAGATTTAAATCTCAAGATGGTAAAATGCAATATTTCCAGCGAGAATCAGATAAATGTGTCAATTTAACAAGATAAACATTGCTTCCTCTTTCGGGTCGGTTAGTAACATCAAGTCGGCCGAGTTCAGTATCTATGCCGCGCTACACACATCGTTTTAATACTGTATGCAAATATTTAAGTTTGGACAAGTAAACATGTCTGTAACATAGACAGCTATTCAGGTGTTCACGTATGACCACGACACACACATACTATGTAAGTGTGGGTACACATACATATTTATCCACGTACACCTAATTCCAGAGGCATATACAGGCTTATATTTCGATAAGCTAGTTGAATACGACGATATATACATAGATAGACAATAATACCAACTTGCATGTAGACAAGGTGAAATTTTATAAAATATGAAATATCAATCAAATTACATAATGTAATTGCAGAAGAATACGTATGAGCCCCGCGTGTTTAGATTTACAGTACGACACACATGTATATAACGATACTATCATGTTTCTGCTGTTCATGGAGCATGCCCTAATTATAAGCGAAAGTACATATTTCACTCATAGGGGTTCTATGCTGAATGTTGATATATATACACTCGGGTAGTTACATATGCAGTATTATGTTTTTGTCAAGTGCTATGTGGTATCATGTAATGACGGGCCAGGTTTTGTCAATGGAGAAAACCTGGAGTACACGGGGGGAAAAAACCCCACCGAACTACGCCGGTACCTGGGGCCTGTTCGTTCATGTGGAACACACGGCTTGTCTGTTAATAGTAACGGAGCTGCAAATTTGTATGCGACACTTATACAGATAAACTTTATTTATTTAACAACAATTATGAAACAAGTTATTTCAACTCATATTAATCGTTCTTGTTAGCCCGGATGTTAGCGCCTCGGGGGTCTTAGTGTGGAAGGAAACCGGAGTACCCGGAGAAAACACACGTATTCGGGCAGGTGACCCCAACTTTTTCACGTCCGATCGGGGAATCGAACCCCGGTCGCTTTGGTGAAAGGCAAGTGCTATCCACTGCACCACCCGACCACCCGCTAACCCTTGTAAGACTTCGTCTAGGCTCGCATGAAAGCAGCATTGGATTATGAGGTCCAACTGTAATAAACGAACAACTGTGGCCCAACCGGTTCAACCGTTTGGATCGCGATAAACGAAAACGGCCCTGGCGACTGCCGCACGTAGGTCTCGAACCCACGACCCCTTGGTGGAGAGCTATAGTGATCATACAAGGTCAGACGCCTAAACCACTGCCACTGCCCCCACATAAGCACACTAAAACAAAACAACGACCACCTTGATCCGATACACAATACAATAACCTATGATAAATGTGAGTAAAATCTTTCTTGGGATGCCGACCTGACTTTTGAACGCGTAATAATCTTCGTTGATAATGTTAATATTCTCAAACGTTAGACCTTCATTTGCTAGTTTCAAGAGCATGTGTCTTTCATAACAGGCATACAGATTATAGAACATTTCCCTCAAAGTGTTAAAGACCAAGCTGTGTAATAAAACTGTGCAGCTTTTAAAAGCTGTAGTCAGCTTAGTGCGTTACCAGATAAAGAAATCACATACATATATTTTATACGAGGTTTATTCTTCCTGTTATGAAAGCGGAGTTCTTTTTATCTTTGTGTCTTATATATATGTGTGTGTGTGTGTGTGTGTATGTAGGTGTATGCCATCACCTGCTTGATAATCTGTATATGATACCACAGGTAGTAACCCTGCACATGTACTACAGTGAGATATATATCATTGGTGTGACCTCAGGTCCATCGTCAGTGTATCGTATCCTGGGTTATCATGTATATAACGATGTTGGTGTGCTATCGCATATACTTTATATACATGTATCATACCTTTATCTGTTTTGTATATACGTCTTTCGTGAAATGTATCTTGAGAGGTCGGTTGGCGCAGTGGATAACGCACCCGCCTTTCATCAAGACAGCCGGGGTTACTTTTCCCCGATCGGACACGAACAGGTACATGTCTGGAGGATAACCTGCTCGACCATGAAGGTTTTCTCCGGGCACACCAGTGGAAATCGAATTTCTGAGACATAAATATTCCACATTTGTGATTTTAAGATCATCCTCGGTATGAACATTTCTTAACTAATTAAACTTTGTGAATAGCAGCAAAGACACAGATCTGTCTGTGACAAGTCTGCATTTAAATTACGTCTTGGCGACCTTGAATTGATTTTTGCAACTGACGAGTAATTGTCACAATTCATGTGTTTTCCCTGTCAGATTTATCCGTCGGCTTTTATATTGACTTCTGCCGTTTACATATTGTGACGGTGTATTCTCAAACTCTTATTTAGAATAAATTCAGATAAACCTCTTTTGATAATATTCTCTGCATGCTTAGATGAAAACGGCTTCATCCGGCCTGAACTACATGTTCACTCCTGCACTTAACATAGAAACGCCGATATACGGGTAGAGAAGAAGGAATTTCTGCCACGAGACTAAGTCCATCTCTACTTCCCTCTGAACATCCTAACCTGAGATCGTGTGCTCTGATCTTTCATATATGGCTTTAAGACACGGTACTAATAATAATAATAATTCGAGGTTATTATATACCGCTTTATCAAAACCTAGTTCGCAGGTTGTTTCATAGCGATTCACAAATTATTGTCCGTGGTTATACGGCCTTTGCAACCAGCCAATGTCTTTCCCAACTCCCTGGGGATCACACAGCCGGTGTTGCCATTTTGGCGCTCACAGCTAGCATTCAACAATTCAAGCACTGCCCAACCGCGTACTCATTTGCAGCCGAGTAGACTGAAACAAGTTGGGTAAAGTATTTTGCTCAAATGTAAAACACAGTGCCGTGACGTGACTCGAACCCGCAACCCTTCGTCCACGAGCCCGGCGTCTTACCACTAATCTACCGTACATCCATATACATGTATATATAATTATTATCTGCGATCAAACAATTAACTCTCCAACTAATTAATGTTTGTACCCTAATGACGGGTTCCTCCAAGTGTCAACTTTGAATAATCGCACAGGACCCATGAAATACAATAATAGTAGTTTGTGCAACCGCTTTTTCCGTTTTTCAGCTATATCACTTTTAACTGATAATGATAAATACTCGTTAGTATCATCAGCTCTTCCATCATCTTTTGATCTGAGCGTGCTGCATCGTCCCAAATATTATAACTTTCCTGTATTGATGATTTTGCTGAAACTACACCATTCCGATATATATAAGATGCTGAAAGTAAACACATTAGTACCTTTCTGTCAATGTATAATTGGTTATTCAAGCTATACCCAAAAATAACTGGATTATAAGGAATTTGGCGATGCGCCCTTTTATTATTTAATTTGGTGGTCAGATGACGCAGTTAATACGTAGCACACTTGCCTTTCACCAAGGCGGCCGGGGATCGATTCCCCGATCGGACGTGAAAAGGTATGGGGTCACCTGCCTGACCACGTGGGTTTCCTTCGGGTTCTCCGCTTTCCTCCCTTATAACCAACTCCCAACTCCCATCCCCCGCGCGCTAACAACCGGGCCAACGAGAGTGATTTGTATATGTTGAAGTTATTATTTTTATAATTGTTGTAAAATAACTAAAGTTTATATTATATTTAAAAGATCCGCTTGCAAAGAAAGCGTCATATTCCCTTCCCCGTTATCGTGTCCGTTAATTTGTCAAATCGGTGAAAAGTTCAACTTATATTTTCTAAATAAGGGACCTCCTTGTTATATGTATGAGATTATAGCAATTTCCCTTGGGAAGAGAAAGCATACATAAACTAATTACGTTTCCATGAATCATCTTCAGTGTCTAAATTAAACGGCGAAATATGTAATGGGACACTTCAAGGACTATGTTGATACATGTATGGAGCTAAAATCGGGTGCTCCTGTCGTTCAGTTGTGATAAACTCATCTATCTTTGTCGAGAAATTCCCTAGGTCCCGTATAATTTATCTTATTCATCTCTAATACCTTGCTAAATGTCGCCAGTTTGCAGTGATTTTCAAAAGGGTTTTTGTGATAAACACTGCAACGAGTTTTGCCATTTGATTTAAAAAAAAAGGAAGAATGTGCAAATATGTCGACCGATTGATCGAATTGTCAAGGGATTATAATATTAATTTGATATGACACCCATATGTGCCATCCTGAAAATTTGCCTCGGTAGTCTTTAAACTCGAACTTAACCCGACTGTGTGGGGAAAACAACCGTCTAGATGAAACATTTGGGTATTATTTAGTCTAAATGGTGGTGAAAAACTGTGATAGATTGACACACATATTGTTAAAAAGCGGTACAGAAACAAAATAGGACGATTTGTCGCATGAATTACCCCAGCACGTCATTTGACTATACACTAATATGACCTAAATACCTACATTGCAGAAATGTACCACCACATACATTCTTCATCCTCTACCGCTGGTTTACGACGTCATAAGGGAATCCTCACTCAGCTGATTAGCGTGTTAACCCGTCTTTATCAACATTCGGTATAGAACTAATCTAAGAACATTTATTTTTATTTCTTTTAAGTACAAGAACTATACACTAATCAAAGCTGTGTGTATCTGTTGTGTAGCTTGTTTGTTTATGCGCCTCTATAACTACACTATTGTTTTGGTTTGTGATTTACGTCCTACTAACAGCTAGGGTCATTTAAGGATTTGGTGGTGGAGGAAAACATTCTTTGGAAAGTTCCCGGAGAAAAACCACCGACCAACTGCCAGTACCTGGCGACTGTCCAACGTAGGCCTCGAACCCGCGACCCAGTGATGGATGGCTAGTGGTAGCAGAATGTCAAACGCCTTTACCACTTGGCCACTGCGGTCCCTTTCTATAACTACACGCTTCGGGATAGATAACTGTGAATCTCATGCGTAATGGATAATTCCCCTTGACTGTATGTAATTAATGGACCAATCGGACTAACTATCTACTGACCCTGTAC